GTCCACATGGCGCCCCAGACCTCTCCTGACCCGCCAGCTGCTCCCCTCAGCAGTGTAATTCATGGATCTGCCTGTTCTGCTCCCCACTCTGTCTCTGGTGAATCCTCTCACCCTCCGCATCCCTGGCCTGTACCCCAGTTCTGTATGAATAAATAAATAAATCTTTAAAAAAAATGATGGGGGAATAGCACAGCTGGAAAGGAGGTGCCACAAGATCACACTATGCCACTCACTATGCCAATACGGGGGTAGAAGGGATTAACATATACAGCTGGGCATAACATGACCCAGCTAAAGGGACAAAGCTCCTTAGGCACCAGTACCCTGCCTGGGTAGGGTAGGACTACAGGACAGATTTCAGGGAGTCAGCAGCAAACAAAGCACTCTGGGAAGGAGTGAGCCCCGCCCAAAGAGAAGGACGTTGTATCTGTGTAATGCCTGCCCCGACATGGGCAGCATCACTTCTGCCCAGCTCTGACTATGCAGGTGTCCTTTTCGCCAGCTCTTTGTCCCTCTGCAGTGCAGGCAGCAGCGTCCGGCCTGCCCATGACTTGTGCCATACTAGCCTTCTCGTCACTGACCCCCCTCAGGAGAGGCCGCTCTCCTGCAACCATGCAGGCCTCTCTCAGCAAATCTGCCCCTTTGGGGCAGCTTTTCCTGCCCAGTTGTGCCTATGCCAGAGTCCTTTACTCCTTTGCCCTGTAAATACAACTAACATCTCTATGTCATGGAGAAACTCGCCTGGGGGACTCGCCTGTGCCGCTGAAAGGGGAGCTCTGGGGAAACCTTTTCCCCAAGGACGCTGCTCTCCAAACCCATCAACTCCAAAACTACAGCATTATGTATTTGGTCCGAAGGAAGCTCTATCTACTGTGTATTTTTATCATTTTCTTAAGTCATCATTCTCAGAAACAGGATCTACAGATACAAATGGGAAATTACCTCAGCCTTGTTTCCATTTCCTGCTTTTGGGTATCTGGTTGGACGACTTCAGCTCAACTTATTACTCCTTATTAAGCAAATGACCATCCCACATGATTTGATTTACGGATCTTCTTTAGTCCACAGGTGGTTGTCTTAGCAGAGGAGACGAAAGAACACTCAAACACTATGCCAATTCACATTCTCAATGAATGATGGACAACCAACCTCAGTTAGGAAATTTAGATGAAGATGGATATACTCAATTAGACTTCAGCTCCCGAAACATCACCAGACCTGTGCTCTCCAAGAAAGGTACATTTTCCTTCTGCCTTCAATATGCTTACTTTTGCAAACTGAAACATTAAAGTGGAGAAAATTGGTGAGTTTTCCATCTGTGGGTCTTTTATTAATATTTATTTAACTATTTTCTAAGTCACTGAATATATTTTGATCTTTTTTCATGGCAATCCTTTGGTGACTGGTTATTAGTATTTAATGTTTATTAATGTAAAAAAATATACTTTCTCTGCTATACAAGCAATCACTATAAGGATCTGATAATAACTGTAATGATACGGAAAAATGAAAGAATTTCAATGGGGACAACTGGCTACTTGTTGGAGAGAAAGGAGCAGACAGTGGAATGGAGGTCAGAGAAATTGAGGTAGTGTATGTAACAGCAGGGAGGGAGGTGGTGGCTGGAAAGACAGAAGACAGGAAAGAGAAAATCAAGCTGATGGTTTTTTGGGGAAGGTCAAAGGGAGGGAAGTCAGAAGTCATGGGTGGAGCGTCTTAGATGTGATTTTTTTTATGTAAGAGATTGAATTGGACTTTGTCTTTTTTGACTCTCATTTGGCAATTCTCTGTAATATTCTTACTGCTTATTTCAAAGGCAGTGAGGCTGGCATAAAATGAGTTCCCTTTTTTTGAGAAAAAAATATTCATAGGTTTTGACATCAGAGCCCCTGCTCTCTTCTGTTTTCTGGTAACTCACATTGCACAATTATTTTCCTTTCTACCACTTATGCAATTCCTTTCTTGGGCAACCTGTTGGAAATGAGTGGAAAAACTGGATGGTGCAAGAGGCAGGGAAGCCTGTGTGTGTTTATATTTGCATTAGACTGTGAGTTACCTATATCTCACAGTGGTTGCCTCAGAATGAGGTGCTTTTACATGCGTTCACTCATTAGATTCCCACAATAATCTTTTAGGCTGCTATTACCCCAGTCTTTCAGACACAGGGAAAAATAGTAATCTACCCTAAGTCATGCACCAAATCAGTGAAAAGGGAAGCCTCATCTTATAATCAGAGCTACCTCCCCTATAATAATAATATAATAATAATAATATATTAATTAAATAATAATTAATTATCTTAAATAATAATATAATATTAATTAATAATATAATAATAATTCTCTCCCAGGGATGAATGACATTTTAAGGATTCTGGGGGAGGAATGCAGGGAGGAGAAGGGTGTCAAGACTAACAGACATCTATACAGAAATGAAGTTAGAAGGGCTCAAATTATAATTCCAGAACCTGAAGAAGTTGCTAACGATGGGGGGCAAATTCGAACTCATCTCAAATGAGTTAATCTGGGTATTGTACAGTCCAGTACAGAGGTTGCCAGATTTCTATGAACTATAAAATTGAAGACCTCCACAATCCATCATGCTCTTTCTTTGTCTATTTCCCTCTCCTTCCTCAGGATTTTATGCTATATCTCTTCGTTGGCGTGTCATTATTGCTGTGACTTTGGGAGTCCTATGTGTGGTGATACTGGTGACGGCTGCGGTCCTGAGTACCATGGGTGAGTATTGTGGAGAGATGACCTCCAAGAAACAGTGATAATTTGCCAGGTGCTCTTTTAAGAATTTGTCATGCAAAAATCTCATTTAATCTGCATCTTAAACTTACTGAATTGGTACTACTAATTCTCATTTTATTGATAAGGGAAGTGAGAGACTAAAAATTCACTTCAGTATTCTAAGCTCATAAACCAGTTCACGGTGGCACCATGATCAGAAATTTAGGAAATCTGTCTCTAAATCTCATCGCCTTAACTACATAGCCCTTCTACCTTCCCGGAATAATTGATTTCAAAGCTGTGGAATACCCAGAATAAGTTCATGGAAAGATACCAGTAAGGAAGGGAGTAAAATATGATGCTTATCTTCCAAGTGAAATACAGTCTCTGAGGCTATACATTGTTTTATTATTCTCATGACTTAAGGAAATTGTTTTGTAGCTGATCTTTCATCTCAATTCCAGCAAAAATGTGCTTTGGGGGAATTTTAGTTTTCAAACATAATAGAGTGACCATTTTCCTATCACTATTGCTGTTGTTGGCATATGAAGCTATATGGAGATCCAACTCAGGGACCCCCCCCATTGGAGAATGGCCAGTTTCTACCCAGAAATAAAGAGAATCAACATCAACCCACAGCATCATTTGTAGAAGAGAGTGTGGCTCCTACCAAGACTCTCACAAACATAGGCAAGGGCAGAGATAAAGTATTAATGGACTCTTTGATTCAGGAAGGTCTATTACTGGTGCTAAGTGCACAGGGAAGGAGCTCAAGTCACTGAATGCAATGATTGTTCATTCAAGAAAAACACACTTTAGCAGTATTATCTCAGCATAATGTGTTCCTGTCATATGCCATCTACAAAATGGTATCACAAATACACTATGCACTTGGCTTATTAATTCATTAACTAACTTAACATTGGTTTTGTGTTTAAGTCTATGGAAGTTTGCAAAATTTGATGTGAAGGAAAGAAATGTACTCTCCAACACTTTAAGAAGTTGATATTTTAAAGTGATAGAATTAGAATAAGAAATGGGACAATATCATGGAAAAAAAAAAGGAAGGAACAATAAAAAATGAAAATGTTGCCAAGAATTATGAAGCTAAATCAAACACATTTTGATTTACACTACATAATCAAATGTATTAGATACCCAACAGATATGTTTCTGAAAATGCTAGTTAAGTTTGTTTTTTAAGCCATTTAAGTTTGTCGCTCATGTTACAGCTTTGTATACACTTGAGTTTTATTTTTACTTGCAGCACAATTATAATAACATTTTTACTCCAATTTTACATCTCTGGTTTCACACCTACTCACTGTTTCATCAACTAGCTAAAAATACAAAGCAGAGGTACTTTTATAATGTGAATAACTGCTCATACTTCTTTCATTTGGAAAGTTGCATTCTGAAATGAGCCTTATTCTTGTAGATTAAGTTTGTGAGAAGTTACTACAGACCTCAGTGATGATTCTGAGTTAATTTATTCATTATCATGGAGACTGGGAGGCAAATCAAGAAGGGACTGGGAGAGTTAATTTTCTAAAACATTAGTTATGGCTCCTTAACCTATATATTTTAATTTTAAATGAATGTAGAGATTTGAATGTAATCTCTCCTATTAAGTCCTACCTTTATAGTTTAGACTAAAATAAAAATGTTAATGACAATTCATTAATCGCTTATTAACTGTTCTCAAGATACATGGTGTTTGCACTGATGTTATGATCTGAACTTTGTCAAATTTATGTTTATTTCTAGCATCAAGTAGCTGCCCCCCTAGCTGGATCACACATGAGAACAGTTGTTACCTACTCAGCACACCTTTAACATCCTGGAACAAAAGCAGAAACCACTGCTTAAAATTGGGCTCTCATCTCCTGAAGATAGACAGCTCTGGAGAATTGGTAGTATATCAGTGGAGTTCATCTCTAATTGTCTGTAGTCTATATTGAGGGGGGGGGATATGTAGATTCAAGGTCATGATCATTTCCCTAAGAGAAAGTAATTTTTGGTATTCTTCATAGTTATAATAACAGCACATTAAACAAGTAAACTATATCATACATGCTTTTTAAATTTTTGTGAAGTAAACACATCTGCTAAAACACATATTTTTCAACAGTCTCAAGATTGCATGACTATAATAATCCAGACACTACTCCTGTGGGTTTGGGTTTCACTTTTTATATTTGGTGGAGAAAAATAGAAAATTCTTCCTCTTGTCATAATTCTCAAGAATGGCAGCAGTAAAATAATGTACATCCATGAATATTTTCTTTACAAGATTCTGGAAAAGGCAAAAGAAGTTGAAAATGTAAACTCTACTACATTTCTACTACAGTGCCCGTGTAATTTGTAAGAAAAAATATTGTTACGTGCCAGGTATTGGCAGGACCAGAAAGAGATACGTGTGGATACAAAATGTTTTGCAGAAAAAGTGGAACTTACCATGAAGCTTGGAGCTCAAGTGGGCTGTGAGAAGGGTTAATAATCAGGGTTGCTACACTATAAATCTAAATAATCTCCAACTTTTGCCGCTACTTTCAATACATTCAATTTCTTGCTTTCTGTCCTGGTTTACATTGTAGTTGACATGAAAATTAATGGAAATAGACATACAACAAAGAAAGAGAATGGAACTGGAAACCAGGCTTTTAGACCTTTCTGTAATTACTAATTTATGCTATATATATATATATATATATATTAAAAGATTTATTTATTTATGCATACAGAACTGGGGTACAGGCCAGAGGTGCAGGGGCGGTGAGAGGATTCACCAGAGACAGAGTGGGGAGCAGAACAGGCATCAATTAAGTACTCTGCTTAAGGGAGCAGCCTGTTGGTCCAGGTCTTCTGTTTCATGTGGATCACCTCTGGGGCGGGGATGGAACTCATGCTGAAGTGGCTTTAGTTTCTTCATGCTGTGCTTTAACCCACTGCACCACCAGGGAGGCCCAATTTATGCTATATTTATGAATAGTTCAATCATCGTTAAAACCCAAGTTACTCATTTATAAAATATGTAATAGGGCTAAATTATTTTAAGTTGTTTTATAACTGTGAGAAGCATTCCTTGACAATGGTCATATCAATTTACATTTTCAATTTGAGAAGATAAACACTTATTACCCACATAAGTTGCCTATAAAATCTGTTGTCCTTGATGAAGTTGATAAAGTTGATTAAGTTGCTGTATAATTTTGACATTCTGGATCTATACTTTATTAGAAAAGTAGACACTAATGGCTCTGAAGAAATGAAATAAACCTTTTGAGATACTCAATGACATTCAAAAACCGCATTTTTCTCTTGCTAGATGCCAGTGTTTGCATGCCTTCAGGGTGATTCAATCATTGACTAGGCCCATGTCTGTAACTAGAGTATCTGTCTCTTTTCTTTGTTTTGGTCTTTCTAGCTCTCTCATCTTTGTCTGTCTCTACCTCTCTTTGTCCTTAACATGTATTTGTATTTTTTTTTAAAGATTCATTTATTTATACATAAATGAAGAATGCAGAACTGGGGTGCAAGCCAGAGGTGCCAGGGTGGTAAGAGAATTCACTGGAGATAGAATGGCGAGCAGAACAGGCAGATTGACTAAGTACACTGCTGTGGGGAGGTCAATAGAGGTCTGCTGTCCCATGTGGGTCACCTCCCTAGCCAGGGATCCAACTCATGCTGAAGCGGCTGTGGCTAGCTTTGTAGGGCTGTGCTTTAACCCATTGCGCCACCAGGGAGGGCCCAACATGTATTTGTATTTTTATTTCTCTACAGAAATTTATAGAAGAGCAAGTGTCTTCCCAACCTTATCATTCATTTTGGATAGGACTTTCTCGTCATCAAGACAATGGACCGTGGCTGTGGGAGGATGGTTCAGAAGTCTCCCCTAACTTGTAAGTATCTGGTGAGACAAAGCTTCACCTCCTTTCTTAGAGAATATGTCAAGCATTGAAACATCTGATTTGTTGGTGAGATGTAAAAGAGAGAAACAGAAAGAGACAGTGATGGAGAGTGAGAAAGAGTGAACCACGGTAGAAGAGTAGAGAGAAATTTGCAGTCAAAAAATGCTGATTAGCCTTTCATTGCTGTCAACACAAGTGTTCACATGACTATCTTACTGGGGAGGCTTTTGGTAACAGTCTGAAGTTGGCTGGTAAGTGGTCATCACTGCTACTCAGTGTAAACTGAGGTTCTGAGCTTGGATTTCAGAGTCAGTTCTCAACTGAGTCAATGATTGTTCCACTTAACTGAGTGAAATCATTGCACATGGTATTTTAACATATATCTCTGTGAGCCCCACTTTCCATATCTGTAAATAAAAATACAGGCAACCTACTACCTACCTAACCCTAACCTCTTAAGATTTTGAGATAAAGGATATAAAAATAAACTCACATAGCACAGTGTCTTACACGTAGTTAATGTGTAATATATGCCATTTATTTTTAAAAAACAGCTTCATTACACATTTTTCAAGTTTTTAAAGTCTATTTCACATTTTTATGGTTAGAAATTTTCCCTTAATGTCTTGACTGATTAGCCAAGTTTCTCCAGCAGAAGAAGAAAATCTATATAGATGTCCCATTGTTCTATTTCTCTATAGAATACTGACTGATAGACACTGAAGAAGAGTTTATAGATGGAGACTTATTCTGAGGACTTGACTCATGTGATTAGAGAAATTGAGAAGCCCTGCAATCTGCGTGTGCAAACTGTAATTCAGTGCTAGTGTGAAGACAGGCGAGCTCATGGTAGCACATTCTCTCCTGGGGCAGGAGACGAGCTGACTTGAGCTGACTCAGCTCAAACAGGCAGGCAGGAGTTCCTCCTACCTCCTCCTTTTTGTACTGTTTAGACCCTCAGAAGATTGGGTGATACCCACATTGTGGAAGATGATCTACTTACTGAGTCCACTCATGCAAAAGCTAATTTGGTCCACAAACTTACAAACACAGTAAGAAATCAAGCTCCATCTGGGTGTGTACAGTTAGGTGGACACGTGCAATTAACCATCACAAAGTGCTGAAGTCTTCCTCACTCAATTGTCTTTATTTTCTTTTTAATATTGGTACAATATGAAATTATATTACCTTTTAAAATTTTTATTATTTGTGTATGCTTTTTTGGGGGAAACATTAGTAGATGCTCTTTTCCATTTATTTAGTCTTTTCAAAAAAAAAAAACTTTTGGATGCGCTGGTCCTCAATTTCTTTCCCTCTGTGTCTCTTAAAAAAATTAATTCATTTCTTTCATGAATTTTGGGTCTCACTTTTACTACTTCCTTTCATCCATTTGTGTGTTGAGTTTATGATTCCTTCTCTAATTCCTTGTATTAATGCTTGACTTGTGCCATTCATTCTTTTTCTCAAATGATTTAGGGCTATAATTTTAATGTGACTTTATTGCCTTTCAGCTTAAAAGGATTTTTTGATTTCCATTTTGAGTTGATATTTGACCCACAGATCACTTAGATATGTATCTTTTAATTTATAAATGTATCTTTTAATTTATAAATGTACATTTGCTTCTGTCCCTTTTTTTTTTTTTTTAGCTTTCAGCTTCACTCTATGTGGTCAGAGAACATACTCAGTGAGATTTCAATTTTCTCATTTGTATCTGTTTTCCTTCCCAGTTGAGAGAATTGTATCGAAATCTACCACTGTGATGTCACTTACAAGTTTGAAAATGTCATTTGATGTATGGAAGCCATGTTATTAAACACATATGGTTTTGAAGTCTATTTTATAGGCATGTGGTCTGTTCCATGCTATTCTTTTTAATATTCCATTGCTTGCTGTTTAATTTGAAGCTTAACTCCTCTCCTAAATTTGTATTAGTTGCTGTAAATATTATAATGTCTATTCTTCACTCATCAAATTCTAAAATTAATTGGCCTTATAGGTATTCCTCTATAATAGAAAAAAAAATCTTAGAATACTCCTTTACTCTGCTTACTCCCCTATTTTCCAGCTATTATTTTTGAGTATTTTGATACAAACACATATTCTTACACATTTTAATTTTTTTAATCTTCACACCCTCCCCAAACACACACACACACACATTTAAATAGCTCTAAAAATTGACTGATGTCTTACAATTGTAATCACTGTAGGCCTGAATCAGAAATTGAACACAGTAGGATAAGCATTGGTTCCTACCTGTCAGAGAAAGGTATCAAAAATCTGAGATGACTTAAGTGAATGTTCCACTTGGGTATTTTTTAAAAATAACTTAGCATTCTGGGTTAAGATAGAAAAACCTTTTGAGTACCAGCTTGTGATTCAACTTCCAAATGGGATACCATCTGCTCCCATCTTCCCCCTGCTGGTAATATTGAGAAATGCACTTTTCAAAGTTGAATTTCGACTTGGCAGGTTTGTTTTTCTTATTCTTCCTTCAGAGAAACCCTTTATCAGTTTTGGCAGAGTCTTATATTTAATTCATCTCTTGGATGAATTTATTTCACATTATTCCACTAAATAAAAGGTACATCAACAGTTGATGGTATCTTGGGTAGGTGAAAATATAATGCTAGAAAACAATATATGTATAGATTTTTTGCAGTAACGTCTTCTGAATATTCCCCAGTACTTATGATTTTCATTGTTTCATATTCCTTTCTGCCTATTCTATTTTCCATTTTGAATCATTTTCCTTAAAACGGAGGTATGTTTCCTTTTGAGGTGAAATTGTAGGGTTGAGTTCTCCATGTCAGTTTTACATGTATTAAAGCCATTATCATCAGGCCCCTATAGATCAGGAAATGTATCCTACAGCTACATGGCCTACTCTATGTTATTCTGTCTCTTTTCCTATAGCAATTTTCTAAATATTCTTTGATTATAAAACTAGAGACTTGTAGATTCTTTTTCTTTTAGTTATTCAAAGATAACATTAAAACATTTTCTTTTCTTTTTAAAGATTTATTTATTTATGCATACAGAACGAGGGTACAGGCCAGAGGTTCAGGGGGGTGAGAGGATTCCCAGAGACACAGTGGGGACCTGTATTCCATATTTTTCTATTTTTCATTCATACTGATTTGCTTACTTACATGCTTAATTCTTTTTCAACGGGCTTCATGTTGTATCATAAATGTTTCAGAATTAATTAGAAGTTTACAGAGTGACTTTCATATGTTTCTTGGCAGACACTGTTGTAAATGAATAGTATAAGTTGCTGAATATTATCATGTATTTCACTTCCACTGAGTCGAGCACAGAGATTTTATTTAACTGCCTTAATAAGTTCAATTTATTAGCTTTTTATAGCTCTTATTTGTCTCAAGTTTTCTTTTGTTTCTTTTTTTTTTAAAGATTTATTTATTTATTAATACAGAACTGGGGTACAGGCCAGAGATGCGGAGGGTGAGAGGATTCACCAGAGACAGAGTGGGAAGCAGAACAGGCAGATCTACGAAGTACACTGCTGAGGGGAGCAGCGGGCGGGTCAGGAGAGGTCTGCCACACCATGTGGATCACCTCTGGGGCAGGCCGGAATCGAACTCATGCAGAAGTGGCTTAAGCTTCTTAGTGCAGTGCTTTAACCGGCTGCGCCCCCAGGGAGGGCCTGTCTTTTGTTTCTTTTTAAACATGTAACTAGTGGGCTCTTTTTAAAATCATTAGTAGGTCCCAATGAATATTTAGTTCTATTGCTACTTCTTGGTTTTCTGGTTGGCAGTAACTTTATCAAGCTATATCCACACCCCAAAACTCGTGGGCATCAAGAAAAAGTATTGTAGAACACCTGTCAGATTCTTTCTCAACCTAGAACAAAACCATTTCACATTCTTAGTCTAATTATTTCTACAGAAGAATTTTTCAATCTTCCAACCCTGGGGTCAAGAATAGAGAGCGATCCAACAAGACTACCTGCCCGTAGCTTAGCGCTGAAATTCAGTGATGGTGTTTGAACTTGGCTAATTAATACCATTCCTTAAAAAAACTGAGGCACGGCCCTCCCTGGTGGCGCAGCGGGTTAAAGCACAACACTGAGAATCTAAAGCCGCTTCCGCATGAGTTTGATTCCCGCCTGCCCCAGAGGTGACCACATGGTGAGGCAGACCTCTCCTGACCCGCCCGCTGCTCCCCTCAGCAGTGTACTTCGTAGATCTGCCTGTTCTACTCCCCACTCTGTCTCTGGTGAAGCCTCTCACCGCCCCTGAGCCTCTGACCTGTACCCCAGCTCTGTATGCACAAATAAATAAATCTTAAAAAAAAAAAAAAAAACCAAGGCACAAATAGAACAGTCACACATTCAATTACCCACAACAGTTACCATAACTTTCTATCACTCTTTTGTCACATAATTCTGCTTTGTAAAGCATTAAAATCTGTAGGGTTCCCCTGTCATTAAATGGCCACAGGATCTGTAATTTTCCCTTTTGTTCTAGTTAATTTTAATAAGTATATTTATCTTATTCATTATAACCATAAATATATATATTCATTATAATCATACAGACACATAATTTTATCAAACTGCTGCTTTGTTTGATAAATATACTCCTTGGGTTAAAACTTAAGTACAGAACTCTCTACAGAATATTATATGGTTCTTTGTTCCCAGAAGCTCTACTTAATTTTTATGCTGCTAGCAATATATTTTTTTAAAACATGAGTCATTTTTCTATATTTGTTAATAGGCAATTTTGTTGAACCTTTGACCATTATGTCCAAAATTCAAGGCTTCTTTTCCTATAATATAGACACTTCAAAAATATATAGACACTTCAGTCACTCTTTTCACCAATATCCTTACCAATGTATTTTAGCTCTGCATAGATAGTAGGTAATAGTCTCATATTTGTTATAATAACCTCATTGTATCTTATTCTAACAGGTTTCAAGTCACAAGCACAGAGACTCAAGAAAAAATAGCTCACAATTGTGTATGGATTCATGAATCAATCTTTTATGACCAACTCTGCAATGTGTCCTCACTCAGTATTTGTGAAAAGCGACTATCAAAATAATGGTGTGTGTGGAGGAGGCTGGCCTGAGGAACAGAGAAGTATGTAGGAAAGTGAGGTTAGAAAACAAAACAAAAAAGCGACACATTAGAGTTCAAGATAAGTGCTTAAAATACCAAGAAAACTCAGTCAACTTTAATCTTCACGGAGCGACAAGATACAAAGGTTGTGATTTCTGCATCCAAACTACTGGTTGATCAGGAGTATGTTCTAGTTAATAGAATCCTGAACATGGAACCAGGGGGCTGGGCTTGAATTTCCATTCTACCCTTAAGTAAATGCCCATAAGTTGCTGTCTGATATTAACCACAAATCCTTGGTATTTAGCAGGTCTTAATTTTTAGTTATTTTTTGTCTTGTCACTGGGATGTAGTTCCTCTGTTTCCAGCAGTAAATTAGACACAGGAAAAAGGTGAAATACATGTCTAAAAGGCTGAATGAAGAAATGAAAAAACCTTCGTGAAATCATAGTTATTTTATTTGCTTTATCAACAAGAACACGATTGTGTTCAAAACCTCATTAAAAAGTGGCAATTCGGCCCTCCCTGGTGGTGCAGTGGGTTAAAGCACAGCACTAAGAAGCTAAAGCCGCTTCTGCATGAGTTCGATTCCTGCCTGCCCCGGAGGTGACCACATGGCGCGGCAGACCTCTCCTGACCAGCCCGCTGCTCCCTTCAGCAGTGTACTTCGTCGATCTGCTTGTTCTCCTCCCCACTCTATCTCTGGTGAATCCTCTCGCCACCCCTATGCCTCTGGCCTGTACCCCAGTTCTGTACGCACAAATAATTTTTTAAAAAAAAGTGGCAATTGTATATTGTTTTCTTAATTAAGTAACCCAAAGAATTCCAGTGCCTTCATATCAGGATGTGGTAAATTGTGATATAGTAGAGAAACCACTCTTACAAGAAAGATTGTTGTCCATCAAAAAGAGATCTGGTAATGAATGTAAAAAAGTAACCATGTCTAGTGACAGAAGTATTAACATTTTGAATGTACTGGTTATTTTTGAAAGATTTGTTTATTTATGCATATAGAATTTGGGTACAGGCCAGAGTTGTGGGGGGTGAGAGAATCCACCAGACACAGGGTGGGGAGCCAAAAGGCAGATTGATGAAGTACACTGCTGAGGGGAGCAGCAGGCGAGACATGAGAGGTCTGCTGTGCCATGTGGGTCACCCCCCTGGCTGGGGATCGAACTTGTACTGAAGCTGTTGTGGCTGGCTTCATAGTGTTGTGCTTTAACCTGTTGTACTACCCAGGAGGGCCCTTGAATGTACTGATTTTTATGATTACCTTTTGGCAGTTTCAATAATTCTTCAGTAATACCTACAAAAACATGTTATTGTAAGGTAACTCTTTCCATATGTCATGATTTGCTTTTTAATTTTCAACCTTTCCCATTGGTACTTTTTTATTTTCAATGCAGAGTTCCATATTATTGAAAGGCATTCACAACTTCCCAAGCTTATTACTGTATGAACAAAAATTGCATTGGGATCCCTGGGTTGTTTACTTTAAAATGAGTTTTAATGTGAATTTCATTTTAATAAAGAAAAAAGCCTATCAATGAAACTTTAGCCTCCAAGTTATGTGCTGTGTGTAACAAACTCCCACATTTGACTCTCACCCCAAAATGATGATGCATTTGGACAAGAAGTAGGTACAGTAGATTTTTCTGTGTTAAACGATAAACTTGGGCTAAGTAGTTAAGGAAACTTAAAAAATGAGAAGACATATTTGGTAAAGTTTTATTGCCATATTTTAATACACAAATGTGTATTTGTTTTTCAGATTTATTTATTTATGAATACAATAACTGGGGTATAGGCCAGAGGTGTGGGGGTGGGGGGTAAGAGGATTCACCAGAGGCAGAGTAGGGAGCAGAACAGGCAGATGGACTGAAATACACTGCTGAGGGGAGCAGCAGGCAGGACAGGAGAGGGCTGCTGTGCCATGTGGGTCACCTCTCTGGCTGGGGATTGAGCTAATACTGCAGTGGCCCGGGAGAGCTCCAGAGGGCTGCACTTTAACCCATTGCACTACCAGGATGGGCCCTGTGTGTGGTTATTATCTGTAAAGACATGTACAAAGAAGTACTTCAGGTTGAAGAGAGGGGCATATCATTTGTGTTTTACATTTTGGGAGGTAGATACCTTGAAGGGGATTTGCTAATGGTATGATAGACCGATATGGAGTATATTTGACTTTGCCCAGCTGGCTCTCAACATCTGGAAAAATGATAGGAGAGTAATATAATTCTATTAGACTGAGTCAAGATGTATGTGGGGATATTTTCCAAAACAACCTTAGTGTAAGAAACTTTTACCTGACTTCCAGAAGTCACAAGTATACTTAGTAATAATTCTAAAAATCCCACATTTCAGTAA